TGCTCGCTGCCGTCTAGACTACGCTGCTAGTCTTGTTGCTGAGTCTGCGTCCGTCTATCCTCCGTCCGTCGGGGGTGAGTGTGCTCTTGGCACGGACGTCCTAGAGGACAGGCAGGAGGAGTTCCAGTGTCTGGCTGCTGCTTCACCTCATCTCGCGTCTGTACTGCTTGCTCCTGAGGGAGACCCGGATGCACTAGACATCCCGACTCCGCGCTCTTACGCGGAGGCCGTAGAGGGTCCCTACTCCTCTGAGTGGCAGGCAGCTATGGATGCAGAGATGGCTTCCTGGAAGTCCACAGGCACCTACGTTGACGCGGTTCCCCCTCCTGGGGCGAACATCGTCAGTGGCATGTGGATCTTCAGGGTGAAGCGGCCGCCGGGCTCTCCACCTGTCTTCAAGGCGCGGTACGTCGCTCGTGGCTTCAGTCAGCGGCAGGGAGTTGACTACTTTCAGACCTTCTCTCCCACCCCGAAGATGACCACTCTTCGGGTGCTGCTGCACATAGCCGCTCAGCGCGACTACGAGCTTCACTCTCTCGACTTCAGTACTGCGTTCTTGCAGTGGAGCCTGCACGAGGAGATCTGGCTGCGCCGTCCACCTGGCTTCACTGGGACTTTCCCTCTTGGCACCCAGTGGAGCCTCCGACGGCCAGTCTACGGTCTCCGCCAGGCACCACGTGAGTGGCACGACACACTGAGGACTACGCTTGCGGCCCTTGGGTTTGCTCCTTCTACTGCTGACCCGTCGCTGTTTCTGCGCACCGACACTTCACTGCCGCCGTTCTACATCCTCGTGTACGTCGACGACTTGGTCTTTGCCACAGCGGACACTGCTGGACTCGCCTACATGAAGTCCGAGCTGCTGAAGAGACACACGTGCACAGACCTGAGTGAACTGCGCAGCTTCCTTGGCTTGCAGATCACTCGGGACAGAGCACGCCGCACCATTACCTTGACTCAGTCACACATGGTGCAGCAGGTCCTTCAGCGCTTCGGCTTCACGTACTCCTCGCCTCAGGCCACTCCTCTGTCTACTCGTCACTCGCTCTCAGCTCTGCCTTCGGATGAGTCCGTAGAGTCGAGTGGCCCGTACCCAGAGCTTGTTGGCTGCCTCATGTACCTGATGACCTGCACACGACCTGACCTTGCATACCCTCTTAGCATTCTTGCACGCTATGTTGCTCCTGGGAGACACCGACCAGAGCACATGGCTGCAGCGAAGAGGGTATTGCGCTACCTGTGCAGTACGTCGGGCATGGGGCTAGTGCTTGGAGGGCGGAGTCCAGTGGTACTTACAGGTCACGCGGACGCTTCTTGGGCTGACGACCAGGCTACGCAGCGGTCGTCACAGGGTTACACCTTCAGCCTTGGCTCCGGCTCTGTCTCGTGGCGGGCTACTCGCTCGTCTTCGGTTCTCAACTCGAGTTGTGAGGCTGAGATCTACGCAGGGGCCATGGCTGCACAGGAGCTTCGCTGGCTCACCTACCTGCTGACTGACCTTGGAGAGCCGCCTCGTTCTCCTCCAGTGCTGTACGTAGACAACAAGGCCATGCTGGCCTTGTGTCGAGAGCAGCGTCTGGAGCACAGAACGAAGCACATTGCTCTTCGCTACTTCCTTGCTCGTGAGCTACAGCAGCGTGGACAGTTGCGGCTTGCGTACGTGGCCTCTGAGGCCAACACTGCTGATGTGTTCACCAAGGCACTCGCGCCTTGTGACCATCAGCGCTTCTGCACCCAGCTGGGTCTTGTGCCTGTCTTGCCTCACTTGCTCTCCTCTTGACTTTACTTGTACTGTCACATATATATATACCTGCTCTTGCTTGTCTAGCTTTATATATATATGTGTGTACTCCTGCATGTGAACTGGCCTTGTGGCCTTGCTCTTGTGCTCGGACTGTGTGGTGACTTTGTGATCCACCCTGAGCTTTGCTTTGCTTTGCTTGACTGGTCTTGTGACCCCTTGTTCTCCCCCACTTTGCCTATGGGGGTGTGTCAGAACATATATGTAGCTTATGCTGTTGTGTAGGCTACAGTGGGGTATACCATAGCGGGTACAACCCAATTAGGGTTTTGCTATTTGTACTCACTTCACTTATAGTTCATTCATTCTCGTTCTATTCTCCACACACCACGCGTCCCACATGCGATACTTGGGCACCTCCACGAAATACGACGGCGCCCAAGGTCCGGTTTGTCCTTCCCGTGTCGGTAGAGTCGCGTAGTCCACCGGCTTCGTGACGATGACGCGCCACCAGTCCATGGCGGGTCCTCGCAATAACGATACGGCGTAACGAATCTTCGCCGTATCCTCCGAGACGTAGTTCGCGTCGAAGAAAACGTTCAACGTGAAGAGCCACGCCAGAACGGTAGGACCACCCCGCTGAATTGGGTCAAAGCATGACGGACGCTGCGGCTTTAGCGACATCGGCGACGGAAGAGTTGATTCGCCGGCCGGCACCGAAATCGTGACTCGAGGCTGAGTCCTGACCGCATTCGCCGCGTCGGGGTGTGTCGTGCCGTGGTCGTCGTCTCCGTCATGGCGGACGACGCCATCACTTGCGGCGCTCGCGGGTTGCCCCACACTTCCGTGCTGTGATGTTTGTGGTGCAGCTGAATCGGAGTGCCAGGTGCTTGGGATTGTGCTCGTGTGAGGTCGTTTTGCAGGGACAGGCGTTCTGCCGGCAGCGTCGCGATTTCCTCGGCGCTCTCGCGGTTTGTCGCAGCAGATCGTTCAAGTGTTCCTACGTGAGACTCGTGACGTCGATATGTTCAGCCATTTTGAAGGGCGTCGGCTCGTCTTAGTCTAGGCGCGGTCGTGGCTGCACGCGTTTACGAGAGAACGCGAGGACAGCGGCTCCTATGTGCTAAGGTATGTGAGTCCCTTCGAGTGAAAAAACAAAAGTGGATTTCCTGGGGTGCGGAGATGCCTAGTCTGAAAGGAACGAGGCTCTGAATACCAAGTGTTACGGATGCAATGAATCGAAGTAGCAAGAATTGCACTAAGGTGTCAAACGAGTACGAAATGTGAGCGAAGGCATGCGCGAACATTTATACGTGAAACATGCAAACGGTGACGCGGTGCGTGCGAGCTATCTAATGCTACTATGGAAGCGAGGCTCGGGCTAGCCCCGAAGCGTAGGCCGGCACGGCCAGGCCAGCAGTGCGAGGTTTGGTGAAACAGTGCGCGCGAAGTCGGCGAAGCCTCGTTAGCAGTAACGGGCGGACAACGGCTACTGCTGTACGCGGTGTTGCAGGGTGCGCTAAGGAATATCGAGAAAATTCCTTACAAATACAAATAATAATCTGACATTGATGCAAGGGCGCGTACGGGGAGGGCTTGGGGAATACTGTCGCGCAACCTTACTGGGCATACCCCAATGCTCGCACGCGCAATGCCGACGAGGATCTTGGGTCCCAATTGTGGCCCGTGTTTGCATCCACCAGTAGTAGCGCTGCGCAGCATGTGCAGCTGAGCTGGATGGGAACCAGGAGAGGATAACATAGAAAGATCCGACACTGCCGACACGTCACGATCTTTGCTTGCTCAATCTGTTTCCAACTAGACGGGAGACGGGATGGGATGACGTGGCGGTTCTTTCAAAGGTGTCTTTTATACTAATAACCCTCCGACAGGGTAGGCGTCTTAACAAGCTCTGTCCGCTTTGTTTTTTCGCCTTTTGTTGCTTTCAAGCTTTCTAACACTCAGAATTGCGACGCACGTCTCTGTTTTGCGAGCTTTCAACTTCCACTTTCCCAAAAGCTGGGAGCTGACCGAACGTCGGATCAACTCATGGGAAGAAAGGAACTGATGTTTGCGCAACATTGGATCTCCGCCATCATCCCGCTCCGCCCTCAACGGGAGCACTGCGCGCGTTGTTTGTAGGTAGGAGCTAGTTGGTTGAATGGAAGCCACCACCTTGCAGAGCCGATCTTTGCCCCTCACCACCCGTCCAGACGACACAGCACCTCACAACACACCCATCTCGGCCTCACATCGATCATGCGCGGAACATACACTAGTGGGTGATATTTCAGTTGAAAACCACCCTCTCAGGAATATGTGCCTGCTTTTTTAGTACACACAGGTGAATACGGACTTCGCGGCAGGTAAAAAGGCTCGATTTCAACCCTGATGTCTCTTTGAACAGAACTCAGCGATTTCGGTCGGTGGCAAACCTATGACTGGATTGGGTTTTGTCTTAATTAGCCGAAACTCCCTAATACTAGAGGATTTCCTTCATGTGGTGTACAAAACGATTAATCAAGTGAGCGGTTCCTCCCTGAAACCCTCACTTTGGACTTCCGCTTAATCTGGGGAGGGCTTTGTGGACAAACTGGATTAAACACGGACCGGGACCGAGCACCGATTTAAGAAACCAAATTCAGGGATTCCTTTTTTGTAGACAATTTTCTCGAAACTACCCTGATCAAGGGTACGCTGGGTGAACACAGCTAAGACCCAGCTCCTGGCCTACCTGTCATCCCATCCCATCCGCCCTGCTCTGCTCTTCTCTCAAAGCGTGTCCCTCCATCCCCTTATACGCCCACCACACCGAAGTGTTGTTCTTCTAGTGTGCGAAGGACACATTTTAGCCCTCTTAGCAATTCCAAGTTCAACACGTTGGTTTTACGTATCGCTGCTGTTTCTTTGACGTGTCCTTCCATGGCGTCCATAGCTTCCCCGCATTCAACGGCAGCGATAGCCGCGTCTCACGGCACGGCATCTACCGGGAATCGCAGAAATGGCGGCTTCGGGCTACGAAACGTTTCCCATCATCAACCCACTGCTGTCCTAACATTCCCACTTTGCGCCGAGTCCCGCCAGTCCGTAACGGCTACCGGAACAGCCGGCGCGATTCGGCCTTCTCTCCGCGCCTCGGACCGGATATCGTTCCGCGGAAGCTCTGGGCTGCTGAAGGCTGTGAAGTGCTCGCCGCGCCACGTGTGCATGAGTCAGCCGCCATACGGGTTCGGACCAGCCGAGCCGCCCCAGGACGAAGATGACTACGTGGAGGCGCACGTGCTGGATGCAGGTGAAGATGCATAGACACTCTCGTCCTCCCAGTTCCCCCTCTCCTCCCCCTTCCCCCCGTCTCACCAGTTCCCCCCCTTCCCTCCCCTCTCCAACCTCTCCCCCTTCCCCCCGTCTCACCACTTCCCCCCCTTCCCTCCCCTCTCCAACCTCTCCCCTTTCCCGCGTTCTCTGAATTTAACTGTCTCATCCCGCCGCCATGCTGCGCGCGCCTCGCGCACGACGCGCTCCTCGCGCATCACCACATTCACGCGACTCGCTCCCCGCTCCCATCCAACTCACGCCACCCTCCCCCCGTTCCTCCTTCCCCCTCCTTCCGCCTCCTCCACCCCGCTCCTCGCCCCTCGTCCCTTCTCCTCACCTCCTCGTCTCCTTGTGGCCCAATCTCCTCATGTCTACGCGATTCTGCGTGCGCATTCGTCGTGGTGTCGGCGGCGGCGGCGGCGGCGATGCATTGACGGCGTCGTGCGGTGTGCGGCGTGCGCAGTGCGCATGGTGCCGTGCGCGGAGTCGCTGCGCATGGCGATGAGCGACGGCACGGAGCTCGAGGTGCGCCACGTGCACGCGACCGCGGGCCGCCTGCTGTACCCGCACGCTACGCCCGCCATCTTCCTCAAGATTGCCAACGCGCCCGACCTCGTGCTGCCCATCGTTGTTGGTCAGTTCCTTCCCTCACGCCCCTTTCCCATCCTGCTCCTTTCCCCTCCTCCTTTCCGCTCCCGCCCCTCGCTCGTTTCGTTTTCCGCTACCCCTCGCTCCACACCCTTGTCCTTCCGTTTCCCTTCCGCTCTCTCTCCCATCCTTCCCACCTCCACCCTTCCTCCCCTTCCGCCAAACGATTATCGCTCCTCGAGTCGTTTATGCGCATCACCACGCGCTTCGCCACGTGCATTCCGTTTCGCTCCTCTCCGCTCGTACTGACATCCTCTCCGCCTGCTCCCCTTTCTCCGCGGCCCCTTCCCTTCCCCCACCGCCCTCGGCCCCTGCCCCGCGCAACGGGTTCGTGCGCCCGTGCGTGCCCGTCCGTGCGCGCGCTCGTGTGCGTGCAGGCGAGCTGGCCATCGGGCTTCTCATGAAGGCGTTTCGCCGCGAACACGCCGTGAGTGTGCACCGCCGCGCGACATGCCCTCCCTTGCCGCCATGCTCTCGCTTTCGCCATGCCCTCCCTTCCGCCATGCCCTCCTTTCCGCCATGCGCTTTCCCGCCTGTCGCATTTATATCCTCTTCATTTTCAAATGCGCTAGTATAGCCTTGCCAGTCACCTGCTATTCGCTTCAGCTCCGCTCAAAGGATTCCCTCTCTTTCTGCGCCGTCTCCTCCCTCGTCTCATCTCAACCACACTCAACCACACTCGCCTCCCATTGCATTGCGCTCCCATTGATGTCTTTCGGAGGCCGATTCTTGAGACGTCTCAAATATATCTAGGCCTCTCTCCGCTCCCCTTCCCGCTCGTCTTCCCCGCTGCCTCACTCTCTCGCTTCCCCTGCTTTCCCCCATCTCCCTTTTTTTTCCTCTTTCCCCCCTTTTCCCCTCCTTTCTCCCCCGTCTTCCCCGTACCTCCCCCCGCCTTTTCCTTCCCTGCGCGCCACGTGGGTGCAGGCGCGCCCCAACCACTACGACGTGATGACGGAGATGGTGCAAGCGCTGCGATACGAGGTACGGACGGGGAGGTCGCGGGAGGTGACGAGAGGTGGTGGGAGGTATTGGGAGGTAATGTGAGGTATTGGGAGGTAATGGAGGGAGATTGCACGCGGTAATTGGTTCAAGGCCGCCTTTCTTGTTATTGCCTCTCTTCGTGCCCGCTTTCTTCAGCTCATGTTCCCCACAGGACAACTCTCCTCTCGCACTGCTCTTTCTCACCTTCCCCCTGTCCTCGTTTCTCCTGAATACGTGCTCATCCTGCCTCTTGCTCCCTCTTTCCGTCTCCCCACCTTCTTCCCCCACCTTTACCCCCGGCCTGTCCGTCTCCCCCCCCCCCCCGCGCGCGCGCGCGCGGCAGGTGCGCGCGGTGAAGATAACGCAGCGCGTAATGGACACGTACTACGCGCGCGTCTACCTTGCCGCTGTAAGTGCCCGCCCGTTCGCCCGCCCGCCCACTTCCTCCCCTCTCCTCTCTCGCCGCTCGTCCCTCGTCCCTTCCGTCCCTCCTCCTTTTCGTTCCTCCGCCCTCTCTGTTCTTTCCATTCTCCGGACCCCGCTTCTTGGCCGTTCTTCGCTTCACCCGCCACTCGTCTTGTTCACTCCAACCGTGCCTTCGCCCTTCGAATCCCACTGTCCCGTCATTGCCTTTGCCCTCCTGTTCCCCTCCCCTCTGCCCCCTTCCGCCTCCCCTCCCCCCTCCCCCTCCTGCCTTCCTCGTCCCCTCCACTCCCCAATCGCTACTCCCACTGCGCGCACTGACGTTCTCGCTTCGTGGATCCCCCTCCCGCCTCCCCTCTCCCGTTCCCTCTCCCATGTCCCCCCTCCCCTCCCGCGCGCCCTCCCCCGCGCGCGCTCCCGCAGCCCGACTCCCCAACGTGCGTCGCGAGCGTGGACGCGCGGCCGTCAGACGCCATCAATCTGGCGGTGCGCGCGCAGGTGCCCATACTCGTCAGCCGCGCCATCGTCCTCAGTGACGCCGTTAGGGTGGTCCCCGCGGGCGCGGAGGGGGGCGCGGAGGGGGGAGTGGAAGGGGGAGCGGAGGGCGGGAGGGAATTGGGGAGGGAAGGCGCGGGCGGAAGGGGGAAGCGTGAGTTTGGGGGGTTTGCGCAACAGCTGGGTTTTCCGCATCACCAGCAGCAGCAGCAACAGCAGCAGCAGCAGCAGCAGCAGCAGCAGCAGCAGCAGCAGCAGCAGCAGCAGCAGCAGCAGCAGCAGCAGCAGCAGCAGCAGCAGCAGCATCAGCAGCAACAGCAGCAGCACAACCACCAGCACCACCAGCAAGACTTCTTTGATGCGTTGCACCAGCAGCAGCAGCAGCAACACCAGCATCAGCAGCAGCCGTTTCTGCAGAGTGGGCATGTGGGCGAGCGGAGTAGCATGGAAAGGTGGGTGGGGATCTGGGAACGGATGTATACACATGCATGCACGCAGACTGATAGAAACACACATGCATTTTTCTCGCCTGAAAGTCCCCCTTCCCTCTCCTCGCCCCGACATCTCTTCCTCCCTCTCTCCTTCTCTCACTGTCACCCACTCTCTCATGCATATTGTCTTTCCCTACCTCTGGTAAAGATCGGATCTTTCTTTCAAACAATCGTTCTTCTTGCTATGTTTCCCCCTCTTCATGCATGGGTGCATACGCCCGCAAATGCCCACCTGTTTGCATGCGTCTGCGTGCGTGCATGCATCCCTAACTGCGTCATGGTGACTGACAGCAGGGCGCCGGGGGCAGCAGGGGACGTGATCGCGGAGGAGATGGCGCTGATGACGGCCATGCATGCTGCTGCCAACGAGGAGAGATACGCCGATGCTGGTGCGCTGCGTGGGGTGGGAGGGGGGAGATGGCAGGGAATTGGATGGGATGGGGTGGGGTGGGGTGGGGTGAGCTGGGGAGGGGTGGGATGGGTTGTGATTTGGTGGAATGGGATGGGGTGGGAAGGCAGGCGACGTGATAACAAAGGAGATGGCTGATGACGGACATGCATGCCGCTGCGAATGAGGAGAGATATGCTAATGCTGGTGCGCTGCCTGGGATGGGGACGGGGGGATAGGGAGGGAGGATGGGGTGTGGAAATGAGCAGGGGACACATGGAATTGGGTGGGATGGAATGTGGTTGGATGTGAAGGGAAAACGATTCCTGGTGTGGGATGGGATTGTTATCCGGGATGGGCTTGTTATTTGTATCTCCACATGGGTCGCAACGGAGTTTTGGGAATGCCTTGCTTCCTTTCCAGTCTTGGAACTTGTTTTTCCTCCTTCCGCCACTTGCCGCCTCCCTTCCCGAGCTCTCAAGCCCATCCTCCTCGCCCTCCCTGCCCTGCTTTTGAGTCGACTCCAAAGCAGGCCCATGCTCCTCTCCCTCCCTGCCCTCCCTGCTGCGCTCCCTCTTTCCGTGTGCCACCACCACAGCTCGCCTCAGGGACCAGCTCCAGCTGCTGCGCATTCGCAACCACAGGCAGCTGCACAACAGAGTACGACCCGATTCTCAGCCCTCCTCCCGCCTCCTGCCTCCTCTCCCTTCCTTGCTGACCCGTGTGCCACGGCCCAACATCATTAACTCAACATCATCCGTTTCGTTGAATTCCATCATTCACCTGCCACCATAAAAACTGTCTCGACCACCATCTTCTCTCTTTCTCTCTCTCTCTCTCTCTCTCTCTCTCTCTCTCTCTCTCTCTCTCTCTCTCTCTCTCTCTCTCTCCCTCTCTCTCCCTTTCATCGTACATTGATTAATCTATTGCTCCTGCTCTCTCCCTTCCATCCCCTCCCGCTTAGCCCCGAACTGCTCTCCCTAAACCTCCCTCCCCCCCTCTCTTCCCTACCCTCTCTCACTTTTTTTTCGCTTTCTCACCTTCTTCCATCCCTTCTCCTCCACGTCTGCAGTTCTGAACCCCAAGCTGCCGATGGCATGGCATCAAATGCACCGTCCGTTGAATCTTATTCCCACAGGCCGTCCGCTTGAGCCCACAGCTATTAGCAATCGCACCCACCCTTACCCAGCTTCACACCCACCACACCGCTTACCACACCTCTCACGCACCAGCACACTTCCCCACATTCTACCACACTCCCTCGCACCAGCACACTTACCGCCTCTTACTACACCTCACGCGTACCACACTGCAAGCTTCCAATCACAAACTCCCCAACCGCAACAGACCGCATGCTAGGTGCAACTAGTATATCTATTCTCGCCTCTGCCTCTGCTCCAGTGATCTGTTGGGCCCACACACACACACACACTCACACCATGCACTCACCATGCACTCACACCAGCCACCAGACAGAGAGGATCAGATCAGATCATCCTCGGCAGATCATTCTTAAATCCTGACCCCACTTCTTGGATGGCGTATTTCGGCGCTACATGCAGCAAGAGCAAGCTATCTAGGCGGGGAGAGGGGCGTGGGGAGTGGGGTAGACATGGCAGGGAGGGGAGGTTGTACCGTAATGGCGGTAGGGGGTTCTAGGGGTGATGTTGATGTTGAGGTTAGAATGTTCAGGCCATGCTGGCTTTGAGTTTTACGTGCAGCTGCAATGCATGTGCTTGCGTGGAACATGGTAACTGCTGCTGTGGCTTTGGCAGCAGTGTAAATAGAATAGTTTTTGCTTTCAGGTATCAGGGTCTTCAAGTGCGGTAAAAATCATTGTATGGGGTGCCATGCACTGGTGGTGTTTTGCGCTGTTTGCTTTGCACCCACTGCAGGTTGGTTTGATCGCTGCATGAATGATAGAAACTACCGTAGAACTGGTTCTATTGATATATAATATGATACCGTATCACCCCGGATAAAAGCGCAGGTGCGCTTATAATAAAGTACTGTTGTAATTGAGTCATTTGTATAAGCGCATGCGCTTATATTATGACATTGAATTGTAATTTTAAGACACCAAATTGTATATTTCAATTTTGCCATTTCAACCGATCGTTTTTTTTTTTTTCCCGTCACAAAGCAGAATCGTGTGCAAGCGATTCTCTTCCAGCACAGAGGGGCCAAGATGCGACACTTTGCAGTCATGCCAGCACATCCTGACTGGACGCGCAGCCAGTCAGGTCTTCGAGAGTCAAGCTAGGCGAAAATGAGATGGTACTCGCTTCAAAATTGAAACTCACTGAAGTTTTAAACAGAAATTTTGATTTAAAATTGTACATGCGCTTATAAAAAGTAATGTTTTCACAGGGGGTGCGCTTATAATTGAGGATCGGCCATAAGCGCATTGCTCCAGATAGAAGCGCACGCGCTTATCATAGGCCTGCGCTTCTATCCGGGGTGATACGGTACATGCTACATTGCAACCAATATTGGCACTGCGAACATCGCCTCGCATGCTACTCTGCCCCAACGACCCTTTTCACCACGGCGTTCTTTGTAACCCCAGCGATCGAAAACACTGCAATGGGTGCAGGATTCGCGGAAAACCCCGCGAGAATTTCGCCAGTGTCGCCACCCAGCAATGTCCCCGAACAAGTGTAAAACCCGTGATCATCCACGCGCCAAGCTGACGCGCATGGCAGGTGCACAGTGCACGCGGACCCGAATTCCAGGCGCACGGGGGAGAGCGCGGGGGGAGAGCGCGAGGGGTGGTGATGCGGCGACCAGAATTTGAAGAGCCAAGAAGCTGTGGTGGTGTCGCCCCGTAGGCGGCTGTTGTGGTTGGGAGGGTGAGAGAACGTTGATGGGGGGGGTAGCCAAGCCACGTGTATGAAGATTTACTTTGAGACGTCTCAAAATAAGCTGAGGTGGTGTCGCCCCGTAGGCGCCTGTTGTGGTTGGGAGGGTGAGAGACGGTTACAGGGAGGGTGAAAGGGAGGTTGACGGGGACGGTGAGATCTCAGAGGATAGCGGAAAAGAAAAGGCACAATGGCATGTCCTGTTGCCCTGGAGCTGAGTCTGCATGCGCAGAAGAGAGAGTGTTGGGAGGGGGAGTTGGGGGATGGAGAGTGCGGGAGAGGGAGTGGGGATTTGACACGGAGCGAGAGGGGGAGAGAGGGAGGGAGGGAAAGGGGGAGGGGGGAAGATGGGGAGAGAAGGGAGGCGGGGATGGAGAGAGGGAGGGAGGGAGGAGACGAGGGAGGGGGGAGAAGAGGGAGGGGGGAGAAGAGGGAGGGGAAAGAAGAAGCAGGGGGGAGAAAGAGGGAGGGGGGAGAAGAGGGAGGGGGGAGAAGAGGGAGGGAGGGAAAAAAAGGAGGAGGGGAGGAGGGTCGTGGGAGAAGAAGGGCCGAGGTAGAAAAGCTGGTAGGATTGGAGAGAGAGAGGATCTTTTCAGAACATCCAGTGAACAGCCTTGGCATGCTGAGTGGATGTGTGACATACAGTATTTCGAGGGAGAGCGAGGCGAGCGTACGCGACTCTGGATCGCCCATGAGGGAATGGTATGACCCTGCACAGCGTGGCCATGCAATGCAGGGGGGGGGGGGTCAACGAGCGTTAGGAAGTCGGCTCAAAGGATCGCTCATGAGGGAATGATATGACCCTGCACCGCGTGGCCATGCAGGGGTGGGGGCGGGGGAGGAGGAAGGGGAGCGGGAGTGGGAGGCGGAAGGGGAGGGGGGCATTGAGTATTGGGAGTTTCGAGTCTTGGAAACATCGGCCATACGGGAGTGGTACGACCCTGCACAGCATGGCCACGCCAGGCAGCCATGCAAGGGGCGGGGTGGGGTGGGGGGGGAGGGGTAGGGGAGGGGGAGGAAGAGGAGGAGGGGGAGGGGGAGGGGTAGGGGGAAGAGGAGGGGGAGGGGGAGCGGGAAGAGGAGAGGGAGGGTACGGGGAGGGGGGACTCTTGAGTCGGCTCAAGAGGGAGTGGTACGACCCTGCACTGCACTGTGTGGCCATGCAATGCATGGGTGTGCGGGAGTGGGCGGGGAATGGGGATGATGGGGTTATCGGGGACAAGACACAAAGAACCCACTCAAGGCCATGCGCGCACGCATGTGCGGCACGTGTTGCACTCCTGGCGGCAGTAACGAGGGCGGGCGGAGCAAGCAAGGCTGTTGAATCGTTAGGCAGAGAAGCTGTGGGAGCAAGCAACGAAGGGAGTAGAGTAGCTTGCAGCACAGCACACGTGCAACGTGTGGAACCGCCGGCCAACACACCTGCGGCGGCGGCGGTGGTGGTGGTGGTGGCGGTGGTGGCTGTGTGTGCTTCAGCTTCAGCTCCACATAGCGTGGCGACTAGCGGTACCGCCAGCACGGCTACCATGGGGGAAAGAAGGAAAAGAGGGGGGGAAGAGGGGGGGGGAAGGAATAGGAAAGGAGGGAGGGCGCGAAGAGAGGGTGAAATTGGGGGGAGAAGAGGGGTGTGGGGGAGGGCGGGGTTGGGAGTTTGATGAGGGGGAGAAGGGGGATGATGGGTAAGGGAAGGGGTAGTCAGTTGCAGGGAGGGGTAGACGCAGAGTCATACGTGGTGGAGAAACGCGAGCGTGGATTGGATGTGGAGGTACGTTCATATCGAGGTGACTTCTGAGTCGACTCAAAAGCGAAACGCGAGCGTGGAGTGGAGTGGAGGTATCGACCGGGTGAACGTATATTCATATCGGGATGGATCACGGCACACGTGAACGTGCGGAAACAGAAGAGAAGATGGCACAAGAACACGACAGCGAGGAAAAAGAGGCCGCTTTTAGAATCTCGGCAAGCTGTGGACAGGAGAAAACGGCGGTGCGTGCTATAACGGGTACATTCATTCAGATGTTGAGGCTTACTCAGGAAGAGGACGAATCTCTTGAATCTGGCGCCAACGACCGCCATAGTGGGCTAGTGGGCGACACGCGCGCAAGGGCGGAGGCGAAGGGGAGCGCCGGGGAGCGGAAAAACTCGACGCACGCGCGAGAGGGTGAACGCGCGAGTGCGATCACGAACGCGAGGGCGAGAGCGAGAGCGAGGGGAGATGGCGAGAGTAATCGGGGCTGTGATGGCGCTCAATGCCGCAGGCGGCGGGGAATGGCTGTCGCCTCAGTGAGGCCGTTGAGTGCACCCGCGGCGAGTGCTGCTGTGGCCACGCACGGGAGCGGCAGCGGGGGTGGCGGCGGCGGCTGGTACAGTGACAGCGCGCCAAATATAGTAGAGTAGCGCGCCGATTGCAAGCTGGGAGAGATGGAGGATTACGATAGGTGCTCGAGACGGTGTGAGGGTGTCTTGGAGGAGAATTCCAGGCGAGAATGTGTGTGCGAGAGGGTGAGAGTGGGCGAGTGGGTGAGAGTGGGCGAGCCATGAGAGGGTCCGACTGGTTTACGGAAAACTGGAATGGAAGGGCCCAACGCGAAGAGAGCGGAGCGCGCGACGTGAACATGGTTCCTGCTCCTGCTGGCTACCGCCGATTCCGCGAGGATTGCGCGGCGACGTGGCGATCGGCGGACAATGCGAACGACGGGGGGGTGTGGCGAGAATGCAATAATGGCTGGTCAAACTACCCGTGACCATAGGGTCTGGGACTGGACTCTCGGGCTCCATCACTTCACTGGGGTGGAGGTGATCTTGTCCTCCTTGCTAGTGGCGGGGCATAATGCAAGGGGGGTACGCGTTGTGGCTGGCAAGTCGAAGAACATCACCAATCCGCTTCGTTCGGACACGTCCGTCGTCTGGTCTGTTGTTGTAGGGTTATATTCTTCATCTCAATTCGTGAATGCCATCGTGAAAAACGAACGCCACCACGATTTCCGAAGTGTGTTACTGGCACCCGATTAAGTCAGATGCTTTTTACGATGCTAATTGCATATCCCTGCATTATCATCCTCCGATTAGTAGCACCTACGCACCACATCACAATAGACATAATAGGTGCACTATAGAGTCAAGCAACTCTTGCTGACTTCTATTTTCAGTACACCCTACCCAATCTTCTTGTTACCCCATCCCACCCACCCCTTTCTCCATAGAAAAAACATCATTAGAATAGATTTGATAGATTGACCACACAGATGCCTGGAGTCATCACACTTGACTGCTGTGAAAATGGTGCCACCAGCACAGTCACTCCACCATGGGCCTGGCACTGCTCGTATGTGTGCACCCCTCCGCACCACCCTGTTGCCTCTCTTACAGGCATCTGTGTTCCCGCTCAGCTGCTAGCTACGCAAGACAAAACTCCTCTGCTGCCACGCACTGCCAACACACGCCTGCCTGGAGAGTGTACTTTGCTCTACGCGACACCATTTCATGCTCTGCAGCATGGGCAACCAATGCACCGCCGGTACACTGCACACTGCCCCGTGTGTGTGTGTGTGTGACCTTCAGAAGCTGCTGCACTGCTCGGGACGTAACGTGATCCACACCTGCATGCGGCCTGGCCATGCTGTGTCATCTCGACAGCAGCAGCCAAGGCAAGGGCAAGAGTGCAACAATGGGTGCGGCAACCAGTGCACATGGAGCAGTCACAGATTGCAGCACTCTGCCCTCACTGCACCGCACATCACCGTGCCTTGTACGCCCCAAGCCTGCCTGCACCGCACACCTCTCCATCCATACAACCTCCGCCCCACACCTTGCCAGCCACACAACCTCTGGCTCACACCTTGTGGAAGGCGTGTGATAGGTCCCCCCCTGTGCAACTCTTGAGGCGCCTCAGAAGATAGGTTCCCCTGTGCAGCACCCGGAGTTTGAATCGCCATTCAGCCTTCTCAATAGCCATACCTTGCGGCGGCAGGCATGATGGGTTTCAGGTCTGGGCAGATGTGACCACCCCGCAGAAGCAGGGCCCAGTAGTCTAGTGTGGTTGTAGGCTGGGAGCAGGCAGGCACAGGAAGTGGTGCAGGACCGCAGGTGTTTGGTGCAACCCGTGCGGTGGGTGACGCAGAGCCGGCTGCAGCACAGCATGGAGTGCAGCACGTTACAGCACGGTGTAGTGCGGTGCAGCGTGGTGCCGGGTGGTGCAGAGCCACCAGGAGGAAGGAAGGGATGGGGGAGGCCGGAGGGGCTCATGGTGCAGAGGAGAGGGGAGAGGAGGGCAGGGAAGATTGGAGCAGGACCCAGGGATGAGTGGCAGCTTGGGCAAGAGGGATGCGCTGAATGGGGTCTGCATGGATGGTACAAACGAGGGGGTAAAAGGGGGGTTGGGTTGGGGAGGGTGTGGGGTGGGGATGAGATTTTTGTGGCTGGTGGGAGTGGGATATAGGTGGCAGGGAGGGAGAGTGGCAGGGGTACAGGGCATGCATGGGATCACAAGCAAGGCATGGAGGTGCGGTGAGGGCAGTCATAACCTTAAATTTTTTAGAAACGGAGCGTAGATAGTGGGTAACGCATGGTGATGGTGTTGCTGTGATGTGTGGAGGCATGGTAGGTAGGCATGCCTTTGTGCAGAAGCCTGGTGAGGAGATCTGCCAACGAGGGCGACATGTCTGGTGGGAGAATCAACAGCTCAGATTGGATCTGCAACAACAGAGGAGGACAAACAGAAGAGGATGGTGTTACAACTTAGCTTAGAACTGATACATTCGTAATGAGCTTGAAGCCCCTTAAGTACATCCGAAATGAGCAAGGTATAAATGGGAAGGAAAACAGGGGCAATCCCTAGGGATTGGGGGTAATCCCAAGGCAATCTCCAATTGGTGGGTTGGAGATTGCTTGGTGATCACATTTGGGTTTGGTTGGGATGTGGGTGTACACCCAACCAACCAAACACAAAGTGCAGACTACACTAAGCTAGGATAAAAAAAGTACAAGTACAAAATGTGACATTGAGAGCTAACACTAACAGATGGATGGCGGCAATAAGAAAGCGGGAGCATGAGAAGAACGAAGTAAAACGCAGGGAGGATGGATGCACACGCACTCACACCGCACACCATGGCAAAGGGAGTGCAGCCCAACATGAGATGAGACGGCACCTCAATAACCCTCTCTCATTTCACACAGCACCACACCGCAAAGCACAGCACAGCACCACAGCACAGCACAGCCCAGCACAGCCCAGCAGAGCATACCTTGTCATAGGTATCCATGAGTGAGGGCCCCAGGAAGGGATGGCGGCCGCACACCATGGCATAGAGCGTGCACCCCAGTGCCCATGTGTCCGCTGCCATGCCCTTGAACGGCTCCCCTGCACGTAATGGGGTCGGTGAGGGCAGTGGGGGAAGGGAGAGCACTTATGGCAATTCTCAAGAAGAGCACACCATGGTGTAAAGCGTGCACCCCAGTTCCCATGTGTCCGCTGCCGTGCCCTTGAACGGCTCTCCTGCACGCGGTGAGGGCCGAGGGGGGAGCAAGGGGGCAGTGGGGGCAGGGGAGGCAGCAGGACAACTTTTGAGAATTCTCGAGAGCACACCATGGCATAGACGTGCACACCCCAGCGCCCATGTGTCCGCTGCCATGCCATTGAATGGCTCTCCTGCACACCCATAGCCGTGGCAGGAAAGGCAGGGGGAGGGATGGGGGGGGGGGGGGTGGGGGCATGCCATGAGGCAATATCCAGCATGATACGAAGCACCAGTGAGTTTTGAGTCGACTCAAAACTCACAGGGATGGGGGGGGGGGGGGGGGGGGGGGGGGAGCCACGAGGCAATATCCAGCAGGATACGAAGCACCAGTGGGTGCAGAGATGCAGGAGCATCAGGAAATGCTTGCTTCCTCACCATCACTCGCTCTCCCTCTCACTTCCTCTCTCTTCCTCTCTTCTCCTCTCTCCCCCGTCCCCTTTCAGTGCGACAACTACCCTGCCGGCTCGGCCAGCTCATGCCTTAACAAAAGCTGCCTCACAGCCCACCCCACAACTCCCTTCCTCACCGCCCCACCCACCCCACAACTCCCTTCCTCACCGCCCCACCCACCCCACAACTCCCTTCCTCTCCCAACACAACCCCATCCATCCCACGCATCCCCCCCACCTTTCCCCCCTGCCCCCCTTCAGCCGTCCCACTCAGCCCAACTGCCCCAAACCCCCCCTGCGCACCAGTGCAGCACTCAGGCGCAGTAAAGGCAGGGGTGCCAGGACTCCTGCGCTGCAGGTCATCGGGGGACTGGGGATGGGGTAAAGAGGGGGCGGGAGGGGCAGATAGGGTGAGACAGGGGTGAGAAGGAGCAGCAGCACAACCGCAGGCAGGCATAGGACACAAGAGCAGAGGAAGGAAAGGGAGACAGGGGTTCAAGGTGGGGAGAGGGGGGGAAGGGTGGGGGGGAATATCCGAATAGGCGGCAAGCTGGCTGGAGAGGCCGAGGGAGACAAACGAGGTGCCGGTTGGTCAGGAAAGGCAGCATTGCAGCAGAGGCAGCACGACAACGGAGCATGCAGGCAGAGCATGCAAGCGCACTGTGAGGAGCATTCGAGGAAGGGAGGAGGGTGTAGAAGACGTGCATTGGCATGGACTCACCGTGACCTCCTGGCAGACTCCAAAGTCGGCGAGCTTGGCAGCGCCGTGCGCGGTGCAGAGGATGTTGGCTGGCTTGACGTCGTTGTGCACCACTCCCTGGCGTGGTGTGGACACATGTGCAGGGCAGGCAGACAGGCAAGAAGATAGGCATGCACGCACACACGCACGCACGCACGCACGCGTGCACACATGCACGTAGAGCAGAGCGGAACTGACATCGTGAAACACCCTCCTCCGCGCCCTCTGACTTTTGAGTCGACGCAAATGCTACCTCCCCCTCTTACTCCACCACCACCAGCTCCTCCTCTCGCCTTGCAATCATGCACCAATCTTGCAACCCACGCCCACCTGGCTGTGCACCAACCTTTTGAGTAGAGCAGTGCAGCACTGACTGGCATCGCGAAACACCCTCCTCGCCCTCTCCTCGCCTCGGCCCCCTCTTAATCACCACAAACTCCTCCTCCTCCTCTCGCTTTGCAACCAAACAATCTCTCAACCCACTCCATCCTGCAAGCAACCCCCGCCCACCTGGCCATGCACGTAGAGCAGAGCAGCACTGACGTCCCGAAACACCCTCCGCGCCCTCTCCTCGCCCACACCCCCCACCGGCGGTTCGTCCTCTGGGAAGACAGGCCCGCCATCCAGGTACTCAAACACTGGTGCGAGGGGGAGGGGAGGGGAAGGGGAAGGGGAAGGGGAAGGGGAAGGGGAGAGACCCTGGGGCGACTCAACACCCAGCGAGTGGTGAATCCCTCTGGGAAAACGGGCCTGCCTGCCGTCCAGGTACGCAAACACTGGTGGGGGGGGAAGAGGAAGAGCGGTGGGGATGGGTGGGTGGGAGTGAGGCGAGTGGTGCATCCTCTGGGAAGACGGGCCCTGCTTTTAGGTGCTCACACACTGGTGGGAGGGGAGGGGAAGAGCGGTGGGGGTGGGTGAGGGTGGGCGAAACCCTGGGGCGACTCAACACCCAGCAAGTGGTGCATCCCTCTGGGAAGACGGGCCCCCATCCAGGTACTTAACACTGGTGGGGCGGGGGGTTGGGTGAAGGTGGGTGAGGGTGGGTGAGGATGGGTGGGGATGGGTGAGGATGGGCGAATTCTGGGGCGTCTCAAAAACCCCGCAGGTGGTGCATCGTCAGGCAGGGAATATGGGCTTGCAATCCACATACTCAACCACTAGTTTGGGGAAGGGGGGGGGGGGGGAGGGGGGGGGGGAGGAGGGGAGGGTGGGTGCGGGTGGTGAGCCATAGTTAGGAGACGCCTAAAGACGCCGCTGGTGGTGCATCGTCAGGTCAGGGAAGATGGGTCTGCCGTCCCATCCCATGGGTGAAGCTGGGTGAAAGTACTCAAACCGGTCTTCTGACCATTCTGAACGGTCAGGGAAGCTGGGTCAAAGTTCTGAGCGTCAGCGAGCAGCAAACATGTCAGCAGAAGACCGTCGTCAGGGAAGTGGGAGGAGGGATGTGGGTGGTAGAGGTAGGGGAGGGCTGGGAGGCAGAGAGCCCTGCTGCGTGGTAGAGGGAGACGGCGAGCAGGGAGGGAGCCATGAGCAGGTAGTGGGACGGGACGGGAGGGAGTCACGGGACGTACCGAGGTAGAGTTTATCGGAGGACGGGTCGTCAATGACCTCCCTGAGGTGCACCACGTGCGGGTGCTGCAGCCGCTGCAGCACACGGATCTAGAGGTTCACGGCAGGACGTGGGGACAGGGCAGGGGAAAAGGTGCGGAGAGGACAGGCAATGGGGCACCACCGGGCAAAGTGAGAACACGCATGGACGTGGGGCAGGTGCGGCTATACACGGATCGGACGGGCACGGTAGGACGTGGGGCATAGGGCACAGGGGTGTGGGGACCAGGAGATGGAAGACCGGATACAGGGCACAGGGCACAGGGCACAGGGCACAGGGCACAGGGCACAGGGCACAGGGCACAGGGCACAGGGCACAGGGCACAGGGCACAGGGCACAGGGCACAGGGCACAGGGCACAGGGCACAGGGCACAGGGCACAGGGCACAGGGCACAGGGCACAGGGCACAGGGCACAGGGCACAGGGCACAGGGCACAGGGCACAGGGCACAGGGCACAGGGCACAGGGCACAGGGCACAGGGCACAGGGCACAGGGTACAGGGTACAGGGCACAGGGTACAGGGCACAGGGCACAGGGCACAGGGCACAGGGTACAGGGTACAGGGCACAGGGTACAGGGTACAGGGTACAGGGCACATTGAGGGTACAGGGCCTTGTGAAGAGTGCCGGCAGAGTGCAGGCAAAGCAGGGCCAGGACAGGCCGGGGCGGCTTGCTGATGCGCACACCTATTGGTTCCGTGCACCAAAAAGGAAGTGGGAGTGACAAGGGCATGCAGTGACGGCAGCGAGGGCCCCCAATCTTTCCCCACCCCACTGTCTCCCTCCCCACCTCTCCCCACCCCACCTCTCCCAGCCCACCTCTCTCCCAACCCACCTCCCCCCACCCCACCCCACCTCACCGCGCCCCACCTCGCGCTGCACGTCCATGAGGGCAGTTTCGCCTGGCGCCACCCGCACCCTCGCAAGGCGGGACTTGCAGCACACCTGCACCGCACGCACGCACGCACGCACGCACGCACACACCCGGGAAAATAGAACGGGCGGAGAAAACGTGTGCATGGACGAGAAACAGGAGGTGTGATGCAGTGCAATGCGGTGCGCTGCAGGTGCTTGCAGTGCACCGCACAGCACCGCACCGCACAGCACCGCACAGCACTGCACTGCAGCGCTGTGCAATGCTGTCCAGTGCAGTTTGGAAGGTGATGTGATGATAGCATGGGCACGCACGCATCGGACAAGGGGGCTTTAAGGCGTCTTGAAGTTAAGAGATTATTTCTTTCTGAGTGTGATACAAACATCTCCACATATTCCCCACTCACTCCACGTTACCACCACCACGTTACCCCCCTTCCCTCTGCCTTGCACTAATTCCCCCTCTTCCCCCACCATTCCTCCCCTCCCTACTTCCGCCCCTCCTTTTCCCCCCCACGCACCTTGAGCGCGCACATGAGGCCTGTTGGCGCATGGCGGTACAGAACCTTCGGGCAATGACAGGCATGCGCGGCGGGGGGATGGGGTGTGGGGGAGAGAAGGGGGGGATGGGGTGTGAGGGAGAGAGGGAAAGAGTAAGGGATGAGCAACAATAGACGAGGGGCGAATGCAAGGAGGCGAGAAGGGAGCTAGCGGGGGAGCATGAGGGGGAGGGAGCATGTGTGCAGGGATGGTGTCTGTGAGAGAGCACTCACCACTTTAGCGTAGGAGCCTCGGCCAATCACACGCTCTCTCACGTACTCGTTCACCATCTTGCGTCCCTCCGCATCCTGCTCACAGCACCGCACAGCATAGCGCAGGACCGCACAGCACGTAACGGCGAGTTGTGAGATGCAAGGAGCAGCTAGAGTGTCCCCTTTATTCCCCCCTTTCGAGCAATGCGCTGCGTGCTTCTTCCCCCGCGCTCAATCTCACCCGCCTTGCGCCCCTCCCCGCCACGCGACCCTTTTCCGCCACGCGCCCTTCGTCCTACCTGCGACACCGTCAGTCGTCGCGTCGTGCGACATCTCGCTCCACTCGCGTCCTCGTCGACGCTCGTCTTCTTTCGCTCGCCGTCGCCGCCGTCGCCGCCGCTGGAACCGCCATCAGCGTTGACGGCAGTTTCACGCGCTAAAGGCGGCGAGACCGTCGCTGCGAATTCTCCGCTGCTCGCCGCGCGTCGCGGCGCCGCTTCTGGCGGCGCGTCGTCGCCAGCGAGGGCTAAAAGCGACGGCTCGCTGCGGCTTACGCGCATGCCCGCGGCGGCGGGGGAAGCCGCCTGGATGGCTGTGCGGGGACGATAGTTGCGGTCGCGGATCGCGTTGATGGTGGCGACGGGGAGGTGAAAGGAGAGGCGCGCAACGACGAGCAGCAGCGCGCGCAGGCGACGAAAGAACGGCCAGCGGGGAGCAGGTGAACGAGACGCACGCGCGTCCATGTTGCGTAGGGTTGAGATGAGAGCTTGCTGGTATGCAGGCAGGCTGCTTTGAGAGGAGTGTATTTGTCAGGGTAACCTGCTATCAATGCCCGAGAATTTCGGGAGAGACAAGGAGAAGAGCTGTTCTGTTTGTTATTATTTGTACTAAACAGAGTGTGCGGAAGACTTTATAAAAAGGATGAATAACAGAATGCAGAAACAATGAAGAAAGGGAGCATTTATATGGCGAATACATGCTAGGCGAGAACCTTGTGATGTGCGAGGGTTGGGAATGTCGCAATTGGTGTGAGGCGACTCGGAAGTTGTTCAGGTCGAAACTGTAGGCCGAACCCGAACTCACGGTGAGGAATACCGCAGCACGGGCTTCGGCACTGGTAATTTTTTATATCGCAGGGCATTTTTTTTGTAAAGCCCGAAATGCGATCCCGCCACCTTTCATTACGCGGTTTCCTCGCACGCGTCATTTCGACATCTTGAAATGTGTTACGATGCGAAGTTTTATGAGAAGGCATTCCTGTACGCTGCAGGAGCCGACTCTACCGAGTACGAAGCTGAGGAGTCAGAAGAGCCGAAGCAACGCACTAACCGTCAGATCAAGACCGATGCAGGCAGAAACACTTACAGTGAAAAGAGCGGGAACGGTTTTTGAACGGGTTTCCCGCGCCGCACGGTTTCTAAATTCAGTTGCAATAAGGGAATGTACCCCTTAGAGTACATGGCTAGCTAGGTCCTTTCGTATTCCCTTGTACTCTTATATAAACTCGATGTATGCATGCTATTATCAACTCAGTCATTTTACATTCACTCTGACCTGAGATTCAAACTTCCGCTGCAACTACCCCGCGATCAACCCTGAGCGATCCTTCGCTAAGTCCCACTTGGGATTGTAACATGGTATGAGAGCTACTTAGGGATTCTTCGCAGCTTCACTTCAGTAAATTCGCTGAATCAAAATTTGGCGAGCGGCACACGCTCTAAGACCAAGATGGCTGGAGGATCCGGAGGCCAAGCAAATCTGACGGCTGAAGGACAACCCAATCCAGGTGCGACAAGTGAGGCGACAACCACGATCGGCATTGCCGCCCTCGAGCAACTTTTCGCTCGACTTTCAACTATGGAGAAAGAACTCTAAGAACTGCGCAAAGGCGATGCGGGAATCTCTTCTCAACCAGCACAACCTGGACAACCGGCTGAGAAAAGCCGTGATACCGCCGCGCACACCTTCTCCCTCGACACAGACAAATCAGCAACAACTGCCCCCCGTCCAAGTGATGAGGCTATCAACTCTGCGCAAACACGATTCCTCAGCGTTTTAAAGATTAAGACTACTGCCGCGTTTGACGGCAAGGATTTCTATACATGGAGTTTTGAGCTGGAGCTCCTCCTACAAACAGCGCAGATCTACCATTACTTCGACGGCTCTTACCCTAAACCGGTGGAAAACACCGACGTCGCCAGGGCTCAGTACTACAGTGAGTCCCTCATGGCCTACAGTGTACTGCTACGCAACATGGCGCCTGCAGAACAACTCAACATTCGCTCCTACAAAGAGAGCGACGCTCCAGCAATGGAAGCTTGGAAGCACCTCGTTGAAGTTTACCAGCCGAAGGATTCCGTCACGGCCAGCAGGCTTCTCCAGCAACTTCTGGAGATAAAAATGGGGCACGGGGAGAAGGCAAATCCATACATTAACCGCTGTCGCAACATCCGTGACTAGATCACGAAGCATGGGAGTACGATCTCAGAAGAGATTTTCGTCAATATAGTCCTTCAAGGACTCGGGCCTTAGTGGAAGCCTTGCAAGGCGTTACTCCGACAGCGAGGAACAATTTCAGAAGCCGCGCTATGTGCCGCTCTCCTATCCGAATAGCAGGATATGGACTCGAGCAGAACAAGCTCCGCGCCGCGCCGAGAGCGCCTCGCCTTCTACACGGACAACCGAGAAGAGCCACGACAACCAAGGCGCGATTACTGCAAAATATGCAAAGTCTTCGGACACTCAACGGATAGATGCAAATCTCGATCCAACCACCGCCACCCAAATTCCACTCACCACAACTGGGTCGGCCGACAAGACGCTCGTCATCCTCAACCTCAGCATCAGCAAGCTCGTCCTCCTGCGCAACACCAGCAAAATCAAGGATCACAGTCAGGAGCCCCCAGGAACGTCATCGCAAACATGGCGACACGACGACGGCGCACCACTGAACCTGACGAGGAAAACGAAGTGCAAGGAAGACTCCTGGAACCAGAAGAGGGATTGAATAATCCCTTCACCGAGGATCACTACTACCTGTACGACGAAGACGAGCAGGACTGGAACCTTCCAATCACGTTGCGGGAAAGCCCGCCTCACAAAAATCAGCACTACGTACCAGTCGGCTGGAAGGAGGACGAAGATCCTCACTTCAACAGGCGCTTCAAGACCACCCTGGTAACTCCACGATTGGCGCTGCTGCTGCGCCGTAACAACACCGACAACTACAACACCTGGTACCTGGACAGCTGCTGCGGCCAGCACATGGTGGGATCCACGCGCTATGTCTCTGACCTAAGTCGCGCCCCTGCAACTTATGTCACGGTCGCCAACAACGAGCAGCTGCGCGCCAACTCACAAGGACTTGTCGTCCTGCAAGCACGAGACAGCAACACACACATCTCGTTCAACGACGTACTCTACGTCCCGAACTTGCGCTTCAACCTGCTCTCCGCTGGACAGCTCCGCGATTGCAGCGTCATCATTCACACGGACCTCGCAACGCGCGATCTCATCCTCACCTATGCTCCCCCCGACACCCCTCCTGAGGAATTCAAGTACCTCGGACGTGCTCGCTCCATCAACGGGATCTATATCCTGGACTTCGACATACCTTCCTGTCAAGCATCGTCGGACGAACTCGTAGACCTTGTCCCCCTCGAGTTCGCCTTCATGAACAAGGAGTCTTGGGAGCATCCGGATGGAAGACCGTGGATTCGCTGAAGCCCTCACCCGCGTGAAATCAATCTTCACGAACCCGACGCCCACGGACTGTGCACCACCTGTCACACACCTACCGCAAGCCGAACGGAGCAAGTGGAGAGGGAGCAAGCGGCAATTCAGGAAGCAGAAAGCGCTGAGACAAGACCAACAAGCATGACTGAAGAAGAGCTTGCCATATCATCTCACCGCATATTCGGCGAGCCAAGCGAGAAATTCGGCCAAGAACAGCAGGCGAGACCGCGACCTTACTCGGACACCCTACGATTCGTCCTCGAAGCCAACGCACGCACCTTCGACGAAGAAGGACGTCCGCGCCCATATAATCGAGAAGTCTACCGCCGCGAAATTGACCCTGCTTGGAAAGACCCTGACGCACCAGAGGAACTGAGCGTTAAAGAAGAACAGGAGAAGGCCCAAGCCGAAAAGCGGCAGAAGCTGTATGAGGAGCGCATCGCGGCAGGATGGGACCCAGACTCTGCGCGCGGAGGATGGGGCAACGAGCCCGCCGATACAGAAGAAGGCGCAACCTGGGGTTCCACAACGGGAGCATGGGGAACTGGCACGATCACCAGGGGAGGATGGGGAAACGACGAGTCTGCCGAAGGAGAGCTCACACAAGAAGAATTGGAGGAAGCTGCACAAGAAATGCAAGCTGAGCGCGGCGAAGCATCACCTCGAGTAACCATTCCCCTCGGTCAACCCCCTCGCACTGCCGAACCACCTCGCTCACCTCACCACTGGCGTGATCCCTGGTCGGAGATTGAGAGGGGGACTGTATCGCCAACACCTCCGCGAGACTCACTCGGACCAATCTCCCGCCCAGACCCGTACGCCCGCTTCATCGAAGGCACCACGACCCCGCTCACGATCATTCCTGATCGCGAATTTCTCGCCCTGTATCTCTCAACGGCACCTGCAGAAGGGGAAGCAACGGCAGAAGCAGAAGGAGAGGAGGGGAACAACGAAGCAGAACCAGGAGACGAGGAAGAACCTCCACTCCAGATCCCAGAAATCACAGCAAAGGAGGCAGCAGAGTACCATACCCACTACAAGAGCACCTCCGGCATTCGTGCCGAGGATGATCTCTAGCACCAGCGGATGGGACACCCCTCGCGCCAGACACTCGCCAATTGCCTTCGTGCAAAAGTTTTTCCGCCAGGAGCACTGCTACGCCCCGACGGGACGGAGTTACAGCACACCACCCCTCATCCAACCACTTGCACTGTCTGCCCCACAGCCGCACTCTCTCACACTGCCTATCCCTCCCTGGAGCCAAGCACCAACCGCTACAAAAAATTGGAAAAGGTGTACAGCGACTTCATCGTACTCACCCACGACGAACTCAACGGCGAGAAGTACACGCTGACCTTCATCGACGCCTACTCACGCCACGTGTGGGTTGCCAATGTCGGCGCCCGCTCCAAAGCCTCAGAGGTGTTCCGTATCTTCCTCGCGCACGCGCAGCGACAGTCGGGAAGGAAACTCAAGATCTGGCAGAGTGATGGGGCAAAAGAATTTTGCAGCAATGAACTGGAGAGCGTGCTCACCGAGAAGGGGATCAAGCATGAGATTTCCCTTCCCTATGCTCACCAGCAGCAAGGCGTCGCTGAGCGGGTCAATCGGACCCTCATGACTAAAGTTCGCGCCATCATGAACCAGTCCGGCCTGCCAAAGAAATTTTGGCCGTACGCCATGAATCACGCGGTACGCCTGCACAACCTCCTCTCCACCACCGCCAACAGGGATAACCTGTCACCCCACATGAAGTGGACCGGTTCAAGGGGAGATCCCTCCATGCTGAGGGTTTGGGGGTGCATGGTGCAGTATCGGCCCACTTCGGCTACAATCGGCAAATTCGTTCATCGTGCGCGCTGGGGAGTTCATCTCGGACTCAGTCACGAGCACAAAGGGTGGCTCATCCTCGACATGGACAACCAGGAAGTTGTCCCTACGCGTAACATCCTCTTCTACGAACGGCTCACCTTGAGGCAGTGGATCGAGGACGAACGCCGCAACCAGG